TCTGTGTTACCAAGTTTATCTGAACTTAATATAAATTAGATTTAAAACAGACCGTCGTAGTGGTTAAAACATTTTTTGCTATTAAGTTGTGCGCTTAAACCCTAATAACATGTACTTTTTTCTTGGCATCCGAGAAGTGTCATTAACCTTCATATCTAATATGAGAGGAAAAGATTATCTTTGTCTCCAATTTAAAACGAATGGTCAGTAATTTACTCGATAACTTTCTATCATGTTTTGTAATTATAAATAACAGTCCAAGGAAATGCCGTAGATGAAGCCAGCTACATCTTACTAAAATAAATTTATTAATGTACTTGACTTAAATTTGGTTATTTTTTACTTATAGCTATATAACCTGGTGAGAATTTACTAAAATTAAGCGCATTTATCGTTCATATATCTTTGTTTCAGTGAAGTAGAAATCCCTTAGTTCTATGAAGTTATCACTTCCTTGATGTTATCCAAATAATCCAGTCAATACTGTTGTCATCGATAATTATCCCCTCAATACGCTTTGTTGCAACTCCATCTTTGTATCTTAATCGGTCAACTTACGAGTTACTTCCACATACAGTGGGATGTTTTGTTACTGAGATATCGAAATGATAACTTTTAAAGGTTTAGTTAGTTTTTAAAATTGAAATTTACGGCACAGTAATCACTAAGAGGTTTGTATGTCTTATTTTCGAATCTAATTGGCACTTTCCGGTTCCCAGTATTTTTAAAGCCGAGTTTAATTCGTAGCTAGATGTATATCATGTTGAGCAAACTCTGATTGGTAAAATTAGACCGATTACATATGGGTTTACACTCGTATTTCGTGAAATCTCGAAGAACACTGGTTTCATGATAATTTCGTAAGTTATCTCTATCACAGTCCGTTTCCTTAGGCTGTTAAAAGTATCGACTTTTCTTAGTTAATCATCAGCTGAAAGAATAGTGCGATCAAGCGGTTTTTCGGATTATTTAAAAAAATCGAAAGTATCATCAAGTAATGATATCGACTGAAGGACTACTAAATATCACAAAACGCTCAACAGCTGTTCCGTAAGATCACCGTAATAAATAATAATTTTCCCGCTAGTCATTAGCGTCGGTATGGATTTACCAGTTTCTAGCTTGTAATGAAAACGAATTCAATAAGGGATTAAAAATGGGCTACAGCGCTAATTGACTAACATTGGAAATGTGGACTATTGGATTCGATCCAATGGAATGAAAGTACTGAGCTCGGTGGGATTTGTCAAGTAAGCGACATATGATATCTCAAACTGCATGGTAATCAAAAGCTCCTGGATTCGGTAACTTGAGGAAAGTAAACATTTTGAATGGTTTGCTTCCCTTCCTTTATTATGGTGATTTTTCAAAACAAGCTCGGAAAAGTAAGTAGAGGATCCTTCCAGTTTTTAATATGTACTTTTTATGAAGCATTAAGATGTTATATTATAACAAGGTAGTTGGCACAACTAGTAACTGCGACCCTTTTCTTGTGATAAGAAATTATTAGACAGTAAAGCAATTATGTTAAGAGAAAAACCACTATTTTACTACATAAAGGATTTTGCGGGTAATTTGCTATCTTGTGTTTTCAACTTTTTTTCTTAGGTATGACTGTTCTAGTGCAGACTTAAATCCTATTGGAAGTATCAGTAAGTCAGATTTACGATTGTTTATTGCTTACTGTGCTCAAACGTTCCCAAGTTATATGAATTCTGGAAGTGGAGTTGAACTTTCGGAAGTATTGTTAGAAATCTTATCTGCTCACCCAACAGCTGAACTAATGCCACTTCAATCTAACGGTGAAATTAGTCAGACAGATGAATGTGAAATGGGATTAACCTATGACGAATTATCATTATTTGGTAGACTTAGAAAAATATCCAACTGCGGACCTTACAGTATGTTAGAATCATTATTGGACGGTAGTTGGTTACTGATTAAGAAGGTTATACCTGATAGTTGTTTTCAAAAGGATGGGAAACCTGGTGCTGAACTTGCTCAATATCTTAGCGAAAAAGTGAAATTATTTTTTCGTTTTTATGCTATCAATCGTCATAAGGCTACTGTTTTACCACCAGCTTACCATACTGAGGCTTATAGTGCTGATGATAACCGGTGAGTTGGTCTTTTTCTTCTCTGTTCATTTAGTCACAGAGTTACTAAATACCCTTATCATTGTGTATGCGTTTATCACCCTGTAGAACAGGAGAGATGTATCTGGAGTCGCTAGATCTCTGTTGCGGGAATGAGCATATTTCGCAAGTCAAATGCAGTAAGACCAGTTATTTTTGAAGTCTACCAGATAACTAGGTGATATCTGTAGTCATAGGAACTTGACTGAGATGACCATGGGTAGCAACTAGATCACAAAACTTCATAATTTACATATTATGAATTCCGTAGATATAATTGCTAAAACCACTAGCTTTTCCTTTCTGACAAATTAAAGTTTATCTAGGTTTGGACCTAACATTATTGTTGCCATCAGAGGTAGTTAAAATCTACATCGTAGAATGTTTTAGCAGAACATGTTTATAAGGGATATCGTTCACTTGGTTTAATATCAGCATCACTAACACTTCTAAGCTATTTTCTGAGCAATTGGCAACATAATACAGTTCATTTCATTTGGGTGTAAACAATCACACCAGATACGAAGTTATATCATCCGATGAAAACACAAACCACTCTTGATTGGAAAATCTTTTTTAACTACGAGGCAACAATAAATTCAGCTAACTATACTGGAGCAACGTGGAGAACCACATGAACGGAAACTTTTAAGGATAAATATCAATATTTCCAATTAATCATCTGAACCTTGATGAAACTGTTCCCACCTCACTATATATAATTGTGTTTAATTCCGAAGTTCATGGCTATTTCATGATGTCTAGCCTACAATATGAATTTTATTACAATTTTACTGCTTTCAAAGTGCGAGTTCATACAGTGTTTTCGAACTCAGCCTACGCATCACCTTTACATACTTATATTTTCTCACATAGAAACGCAATTTCGGTAGGTTTCTAATCAAACACTAACGGTTAGTTTAGACGTAAACTAAAACTCGATATTGTATTTTCATCTTATTATCTGTCGGCATAAATCTCATGATGGTGAAACCGCACTATGTATTGGAATCTGTGTACAGAATCTGTTATCAAAATATCCTATTTTAAAAGCCACCATATTATACACATTCACCCTCATTTCGTTTTCTGTCTTCATTATGAACAGATAGGTAAATATGTTTATTTTCTCTCTACAGCACATTTTGCTGAAATGTTTGCAAGAGTGGTCTTTCAAGACCTACATCGCCATGTGTTCAAGCACACATGCAATTTACTTTGATAAAGAGCGGTATTTAGTGCTGTCATTCATGTCCTGTTTAGTTTTGTAATAAAAACGGGTTTAATTTTGTTGGTTATGCTAATCTGGTCTACGAAATGAGTTCTGATGATCTCAAACTAACGTCATATCCTAACATATGGTTTTCCTATGAGTCATCTATGTAAAGATTTTAGATCCTAAAATCCGATCAATAAATCTTGATAGGTACCCATTTCATATCCGCGTTTTTCTATTGGTTTGAATTCATTTTCATTCATATATTTTGTCTACATACGTCTGACTATTAAATAGACCTACCATCAATCCCCTCTTTGTAATGAACGCATCAAGCAACTATGAAAATGCGATGGGTTTTTTCCAAAGCAGGAATTTCGTAGAAGGAACGTTTGGTCGATTCATCATCTCCTTTATTATTAAGTATTGGATGAAAACAAAAGCATGAAGACATTTTTTCCGTTCTATAACATTCTTATCACTATATCCAGTGTTTAAAATTAGTTAAGACAATCTGGATGCCCGATAACGTAGATCATTTCCAAACGCTAAATGATCGCCAAGCACCGTCTTATCACACTAATTCCTGTGTGCAGGAGTAATATAATCATCAAAACCCTAGATCATGAAGTTTTGGTGTGACGAGTAAGACCAGCAGAGACATACTAAAAGGATTAAGCTATTTTCAAGATGTCAGAAATTAGATTGATTGTGATGACGAATTTAGATGTGCAGCTATAGACAATTCGATCCTTACATCATAGAGTATATTTATAGCTCATTATAAGAAGTTTGTAGGCGTTGTGTTGCGTGGGCAGGGTGCTATAGTCGTGAGGTTTTCGCTGTCTTCCTAAACATCAGCATATTTAAGAAAGTGGGTCATCAGAATTCGATTCCAAGAGAAAATCAAATCAACTAGGTATAATTAATTATCTGCTCATTCTGCTTTGTTAATAATAAAGCTATATTGTATGTTTACTAAACATTTTGCATCAAATATGCACGCTGCTCATTTTAGGTTTGATTTCCGTCCGTATTTGTATCCTAATGACTGGAATTGGCAATTTACTTGTCTAGATTTATTGGTAAAGAAATGGATAGAACAATTCGAGTGACTCTATTCGGATCGTTTTATTTAACGACCTGTTTACTGGAACATTTTTCTGATCCTAGTCAACCTATATCATTTAGAATTATTTACATATTTTTCCACAATCACACTGCAGAATTATTCTTTAGTGTGATACTTCCATAAGTTTTCTTATGTGATAGTGTAATTTCTCTGAACATTCTGTATCATAACTTTATTAAACCTCAACAAGTGACTTATCAATGATGATTCTAAGACCTAGTGATGATTAGGTAAAGTTATATTATGATTTCCGTGTGCTGCGTTGAGATAATATGGGCGAGGTATATCATTGCTAAATACGTTCTTAAAAAACACGACCATAGAGGTCGTACCTTTCTAGAGCTACCCATGACCCTTCACACTGCCATTTATTTTATCAGCATTACAACACCTAAGTACTGTTATATGTGAATTAAAGTATTTAAAGCAAGTAATTCTTAAATGGTTTATAACCACATTTTAAGATAATTGAGTAATCACCACAAGGACTTCCGACTAGCAAACAATGAAGATCTAACCCACCGATGTATTCCATAAACTTCTCCCAATATTCTAGTGTATCATCGATATTGTGCTTTTTATGATACTGAAAAAGATATCCTGAAATTAATCTGTTAAGATATCATTCTCACTTTGTAGCATAAGAGCACGTAACCACTAGATATCATCTTCATAATCAAAAGTAGATCTTCAGGAGTAACAGTACCAGACACACTAGCAGTAGAACGTTATGATCGAATCAAGGAGTATATTATATATACAAACAGTTGCTTCATAGTGACATTATCGCTTCTCACCACAGAAATTCTGGATTATCGCGTTGAGCCAGAAAATCGCTCATTTTGAACACTGCCACTTCAGTTTCATTCACTGTCAATTAGATCAAATATATACATATAATTAAGCTAAAATGTCTTTCTGGCTGTATAGTCGTATTTATAATTAATTAACACACAAAGCGGTCCATTGAAAAATAGGAAGATTACATCATTCTAAACGTCAAAAGGAAGTTCCATAAAACTATCGAGAATTTTAAAAAAGAAAATACGATAAAACCGAATCTGAAAGACAACTGTCTACTTAGGAAGTATGGTAAAGGTAAGGAATAAACTATACACGTGGTGATAATAACAAATAATTAAAACAGGAGGGTGTATTAGTGACCAAATTACCGTCCATGAAATTAGGTGTTAAGGCTATGGAAGATAGACGATAGTTTGCACATGTCACTTTTGGACAAAGGAACCAGGTTTTGGAAAGATGCGCCGCTAGCTCCAAAAACACGATAGACACGGAACTGTTTGAACTTCGACAAATATCAGAAATGCTTATCCATCAAGTTCCATTGAATGAAATCCAATATACGATCTCCAAGATCTACAGTTCTAAAAAACACTGAACGCTGAGCTTGGGAGTGATAATGCCTAATACATTCCGAAAGATTATCCAACGGCATCTTGGAGTAAAACTCTGTAGTGCTCAGATCTTCACAATCTTTTTAGCCACCCAGTCGTTCGTGGATGCATAAAATATAAACTGTTACGTCATTGTGTATTTATGAGTTTACTTTCTATATCAGTGACATAAAGCCAGTGCATTTCCAAACGTGCGTGGCTTTTGAAAGACCTAAAACAATCAACAGCTACATGCCAGAGCATCTTATTAGATTGAATCACACGGCCTCATCAGGTATCTTTCAGAATCACCTACATTCAAACGACTGGGTTCGAGAGAAGTACAAGTCGATTACTTGTGCACTGCACAAACGTAGGTAGCTCGTCTTTTCAAAACCTGATTTCTTTGTCCAAAAGTGACATGTGCAAACTATCGTCTATCTTCCATAGCCTTAACACCTAATTTCATGGACGGTAATTTGGTCACTAATACACCCTCCTGTTTTAATTATTTGTTATTATCACCACGTGTATAGTTTATTCCTTACCTTTACCATACTTCCTAAGTAGACAGTTGTCTTTCAGATTCGGTTTTATCGTATTTTCTTTTTTAAAATTCTCGATAGTTTTATGGAACTTCCTTTTGACGTTTAGAATGATGTAATCTTCCTATTTTTCAATGGACCGCTTTGTGTGTTAATTAATTATAAATACGATTATACAGCTTGAGTAAATCGCATCGCTAAACTCGGTAACTCTTCATTGGTGACACTTGATTATTTTAGTTTATATACTTATGAGTCTCATGAGGTGAGAGTACGTGCATTAAAACATCTGGTCCTTTCATTAAAGTTCGAACGCGACACCGATTTGCATACATTTTTGATCAGTTTCAAATAAGCCGGTCAGCCATAATAAGGGTAAATCTCGCTTGAACACATCTAGATTTTCCCATTGGAATATTAGTTGTACAAGTATATGGCATTGTTGATTCATGCGAAAGCAATGCCCCCAAGCCTGACACACAACTTTTAAGTGGTTAACGGACTTATTTTTATTAAACTCATCCTTTACACAACCTTTGAATCCTTTATTCACCTAAAACGATTAATAAGACTCATTGCGAAACTATAAATCATTTTATCATTCCAGGTCTTTGTACCTCATAGACTCTGCGCCTATTAAAATACATTAACGGTTAGCAAGTCAATATTTCCTCAATCGATTACGTTTTTTCACATAATTATAAAAATATTCGTACATGAAAATAAGAGCGTTGACATATCTGTAATAAACTTACCTATTCCAAGAGATTCTAGAGTTAAGTTCGAATTGCTCGGAATAGGATCACCTTCTAAATCAATTAACAGTTCTCCAGACTGGTAAAGAGAGTATTATAAGACATAAATCTTACCTTTGTGTTAAAAGCTTTGTGGCGAACTTTCAGCGCATCTTCGAAAGACCATAAAAATATATATAATGAGAAATTGAAATAAATCCTTAAGATTGGTTGAAGTAGATACATCGAAAGCGGTGACAACAAATGTTTGGATGTTAGTTAACTAAATACTATTAGGAGAGCTTTAAAAAGATATCGAAAACTCTAAAGGGGTCGGGTTTATTGCGTAATTCTGTTTGGTATTTGTACTTGTATTTTACAATTAGGTTATGACTAAGGATCTTTTCTCAAAATGGCATTAACGTACACTAGAACATTAAAACAGCTAAAGTGGGACTAGTTTTCGCTCTTACTGAAGCAAGTATATTAATACACTACGTTATTATAATCTTAGTACCTAGGATACGTAATAATACATCTTTCGAAATTATCAAGCAGGTTGGGATAGTGCGCCAACAGTGGTGGATTAAAGAACCTACATTTGTCGTCATTGGGAAATAGAGAAAGTCAAGTCGGGTTTTATAACACCAGTCAGATTACCAAAAGACTAAGAAGCCTCCTGAAGCATGTGTTTCCCTGAAATCAAACTGAATTATGTAATTAGTGAATAAATGATTGAGCACCAATGGGTGTTCATTAGGTTTCTATTATGAGAGTTAAATTACTAGATATTAGCTTACCGTAACAAAGGTTCTTGAAAGGAGGAGGTATAACCGAAGAGATTTTTACTTCTAAACATGAATATTGTAAAGTATATCTAATGTAATGTTTACCATGATGTATGCGATCGAACAGGTCTTTTACAGTCGCCGACTGAGGAATGTTCGACAAAGGCAAATAACACGTTGTACGGTACTTGAATGAACGTATAAAAGTCACAGGAACAGTTATACACTGGCTCATTTGAGTTAAAGCTTCTAAGATCTCTGGAAAATGATATATTGAAAATATAGTGACAACTGATTGGTGATAATAATTAATAGTACGTGACTCCATAAACTAGGCGTACTTGTATCGATTTTTGAGCTTTCAACAGTCGTATAAATGTTATGTTCATAGGGATTCGCCTAATCGTGGTAATAAGTATCAATTATATCGTTGAGAAACTTAGCAAAATGTCGGGGAACTCCGTGATATGCATATTTCGAGCCACTACTACGTATCAGATTCACACCAATGGCATCAAAACATGCTTTTCTATCTAACAATCCTTAGTAAACTATTCCACTTTAAGAATACAATTGGTGTAATTTTGCTGCAACACTTAATACCCTGATGTGAGCGGATACTTCAAAGTGTTTCTGAGCTGATAGCTCGCTTTGAGCCTGTCTTATAGACGATAATGACTCTCACCTGAAGGATACAAAACTCTCGTAACATGGACACAATTTGAAGAGCATTAAGACCAATTATTGAGGAATCAAGATTTGACAGTGAAAGTGTACTGCTGACTTTACCAAAATCTTACGGGGACGATATTGACTACCAACAATCCAAAGCACCGGCTTCATAAGAATGTGAGAACGGGTTACAAAAACTAGATCTTCAAATAACACTGCCGAGTCAAATACTAAATAGCCAGACGAACCTGAGCTCTTGCTTTATCCCAGCCAACCAAGAGACAGCAAATACTAGTGAATAATTTATCACGCCAGGATATCAACTTTAGGATTCTCACGTTAATGTTGCAGGATGTTCATGATGAAATCCTTAATTCAGTTTAATTTCCGAGCCCTATATGCCTCGTTACCCTGAGGCAGTCGTTACATCTAACATAAGCTCCGTGGCATAGTAGTTTATCATATACTGGTTTCCCTTTCCCTGATGAAGTTAAAACGGATGACTACACGCGAAATGTTGCATGTGGCTACCTTATGAACATCCCAGTTACGTTCTGTGTTAAGCAAGACTACCACTAACGCAAATTATCCAAGTGTGAAATAAATATAGTCTGTCTATGTAACCAGAATATCCAAACTGCGTGTTCACCGCCAACAGCACTACGGCTCCTTGAGTCTTACCATTTATTATATTCGTACTAATCTCTTTTCTGGCTATTTCTTCTGGTTACCTATTCAAGAATGTTCAGAACTGACGCGACTCATTACTCTGTACTCTTACCTAAATATCTCGTACGACAGGACTATCCGTCAGGTGGACGACGACACCGCTACGAGACGGATGTCTGCCTGTGCATAGCGAATTATCTGGAACACCAGCTGCATTCCGGTGATACAAATTTCAAATTTGAGCTAATCTCGGAAGCGTTGTAGCTTTTAGTATTATAAGTTGGATATAATTAGCGTCAGGAATTAGATTTGGGGTTTTCATCACGAACTGACATCATCTATGGTGCCGAATAAATAATAAACAGGTTTCGCGCCAAAATCTAAGACCTGTTATCGTGAATCCCTTTAGTTCGCCTAAAAATAATAGTCTCGCCGACACTCAGTCTACCAATTTGGTAGCCTATGAACTGAAGTATGATGTAGTTGTAGTCTTTTTCGCTTCGCCCACGTACAATAGTTTGTAGATATATTACTAATTGCATAAAATCAGAGAAGTTCGACCTACTGGGAGACTCGCGCCAATTCGCCTCCACGACCTTGAACGGCCTGATATGTGACTGCTCTTCTGCATTTCCATCGCTGTGCGTTTGTTGTGCGTCCATTGGTTCACACGCATTTTAAATGTTTTCATATTCAAGTAGTATTCCGTTTCAATAAAACCACAAAATCATTGCAAAAAACAATAATGGGTTTTCTGTGTTTTGTAGTCTATATTTTCGCTTACCTATTGCTCTATAATTTCGTCTGGGACATCAATCGCTCCAATGAACCTTACCGTCTTTGTTCAAAAGCTGATAAAGTCTAGGAAACAGCATATTAATAATAAATCAGCAGTTCTAGATATGCAAAATTTTTGTGAATCGATGTTTCACGCCAGGATTAGACGAGATATCAAATAATCTGTAGTGACTCACATTTATCACGAGAACACGACTGGTTTAATAAAAACAATTATTATTATAATCAACTGTACCAGTGTTTGTTTTAATATGCTTTTGTTTGTCTGTGCTAATGACATCTATATTGTGCTTCCATTTTTATTCTTACACTTTGATTGTGAGTTCGCGGGAATTTGGGTTACGTTCTGTAACCAAGCTTGTATCCTGGCACGATCTCGTTATCCTTTCGATACCACGAGATCGCCAGCAAATATATCTCGACTTGGTCCATTAACTGCCTTCTGATATTTGGCTTCTCGGGGATTTTATGGATTTATTTGGTTACGTTCGACCTTCGCCTTCTGATTTACTTGGCACGTGTTTCTTGTTAGCGGTGTTCGCAGTCAATCCCAACTCAACAACACGCTACAAATCAATAAACTTTAGACATAAGTAACACTTTCTCTAACTGGCAAAGTGTTATTGCAATAAGTTTTTTAAAATAATTATCCAGTGATCCATGTTCAAGAGATACCTCAGTCGAAATAAGCGAAGCATTTTAACCAAAATTACTGGAATGACGTTTCGGAAGCTGAGGTAATTTCGATAGTGCGTAAAGTGAATTTCAACATATAGGGAAAACATAATTTATACGTTTTCAGACTGCTCATACCCATTACATTCATGTTGAGAGTAAATCAGTGTAGAACATGAGATTTAAATACATATTTGTTGTGTTTCAGAGCATATTTGGTTATAAGCGTAAACCACAAGTTTTAAGAGCATATGAAAAACTGTTGAAATTTATGTAATGTGTGGCATTTAAAGTCTTAGTTTTTGAATTGCCAATTACTGCGGACAGCGAGGTGTGACTACGAAAATAGCTGGTTTGTCACACCATCATAGTCCAACTTAAGTATGCCCTCAATCATTCAATATGGATCACCTAGTTAGTGATCTACACGTATAACTTTGGAAGGGGAGACTTACTTACGCCTGTTACTCCTAATGGAGCATAGGCCGCGGACCAGCATTCTCCAACCCACTCTGTCCTGGGCCTTCTTTTCTAGTTCCATCCAATTCTTTTTCATTTTTCTCATGTCTATCTCCAGTTCTCGGCGTAATGTGTTCTTTGATCTTCCTCTTTTCCTTTGGCCTTCAGGATTCCATGTGGGGGCTTGTCTTGTGACGCAGTTCGGTGCTTTCCTCAATGTGTGTCCTATCCACTTCCAGCGCTTCTTCTTCCTCTGGGATCTGGTTTGTTCTCTCCCACAGTAGGTTGTTGCTAATAGTATCCGGCCAACGGATCTGAAGTATTTTGCGTAGAGAACTGTTAATAAACACCTGTATCCTCTGGATGATGGCTTTTGTATTTCTCCAGGTTTCTGACCCATACAGTAGAACTGTCTTGACATTTGTATTGAAAATCCTGAACTTTGTGTTAGTTGACAGTTGTTTTGAGTTCCAGATGTTCCTCAGTTGTAAATATGCTGCTCTTGCTTCACCGATACGCGCCTCCACATCTGCATCAGATCCACCGTACTCACCAATGATGCTGCCCAGATATGTAAAGGTTTTTACATCTTCCAAATCTTCTCCGCCAATCGTTATTGGATTGGTGCATTCTGTGTTGTATCGGAGAATCCTGCTTTTCCTTTTGTGTATATTGAGACCTACTGCTGCTGAGGCTGCTGCCACACTCTTTGTCTTCTCCTGCATCTGTTGTTGCGTTTGGCATAGAAGTCTAGATCATCCAACTGCATCCTAGATGTCCATTGTATCCCGTGCTTCCCTTCAGACGTTGACGTCTTCATGATCCAGTCGATCACGATCTATCCTTACGGAATCCTGCTTGTTGGTCACGAAGTTGGGCGTCTACGCAGTCCTTCATCTTGTTTAACAAAACCCTGTTGAAGACTTTTCCCGGTATTGAGAGAAGAGTGATGCCTCTGTAGTTATCACACTTGCTGAGATCGCCTTTCTTTGCTATTTTGATCAGAAGTCCTTCTTTCCAGTCTGTTGGTACTTGTTTCTCATCCCAAATCTTATTGAAGAGAATGTGGAGTATCCTTGCAGTTACTGCTACGTCTGCTTTTAATGCCTCTGCTGGAATGTTGTCCGGTCCTGCTGCTTTGCCACTCTTGATTTGTCTGATGGCCATGCTGATTTCTTAAATTGTTGGTGGGCCAACATTGATTGGGAGGTCCGTGGGTGCTGCTTCGATGTTGGGTGGGTTCAGTGGAGCTGGTCGATTCAAGAGTTCTTTGAAGTGTTCTACTCACCTGTTTTGTTGCTCTTCAATGTTGGTGATTACCTTGCCTTCCTTGCTTTTCACTGGTCGTTCTGGTTTGCGGTGATGTCCAGAGAGTTTCTTTGTCTAATGTTTCCTTCTCTTGCAGCCTTTTCCGCCGTCGTTGCTAAATCTTCCACATATTTACGTTTGTCAGTTCTGATGCTCCTCTTCACTTGTTTTTTTACTTCTGTGTATTCAGCTTGTGCCTTGGCTATTTCTGCTCCTGTTCGACTGGTATTCATTGCTGCCTTCTTGTTCCGCCTTTCTTGAATCTTATCCAGTGTATCAGCAGTGATCCATTCCTTGTGATGGTGCTTCTTATGACCCAGGACCTCATGACATGTTGAAGTGATTGCCTCTTTGATCCCCTTCCAGTTGCTCTCCACAGTAGTTCCTTCTCCATTGAGTAGATCATGAAAGGCCTGGAATCTATTGCTGAAAGCTATCTCGAATTTGTTGAGTTTATCAGTATCCTGAAGAAAAGCCATATTGAACTTTTGTGATATTGTCCTCCCCACTGTCCTGTACTTCTTGAGTTTCGATTTCATCTTGGCGACCAGCGAGTGATGATCTGATGCTATATCAGCTCCTCTCTTGGTTTTCACTTTCTCCATCGTCCTCCTGTACTTTTTGTTGATGCAGATATGGTTGATTTGGCTTTGCGTAGTGTGATCCGGTGAAGTTCATGTGGTTTTGTGTATGAGTTTATGTGGGATTATAGTCACCAGTTTAGTGAAGGCACATAGGTTTGCAAATCTCTCACCATTTTCGTTCCTTTCTCCCAGTCTGTGTTGTCCCATGATGTCTTCATATCCAGTGTTGTCCGTTCCAACCTTGGCATTGAAGTCTCGCATCAGAATGGTCAGGTCCTTTGTTGGGCACTTTTCGACGATTGACTGCAGCCTATTGTACAATTGATCTTTAGCATCTTCATTGTAGTCGTTGGTAGGCTCATAGGATTGGATGATGTTCATTGAAATGCCCTCTTTCTTTGTTTTGAACGAGGCTTTGATGATCCTTGGTCCATGAGATTCCCATCCTATAAGCGCATGTTGCGCTTGTTTGGACAGCATCAATGCAACTCCTTGTGTATGTGGAGCATTTTCTTCTTCATGGCTGGAGTATAACAGGAGCTCACCTGTAGTTAGTCGTTGTTGTCCAACTTGTGTCCAATGTGTTTCACTGATCCCAAGTACCTGAAGGTTGTATCTTCTCATTTCTGCAGCAATTTGGAAGGCTCTCCCGGTGTCCCACACTGTACGAACATTACATGTACCTAAATAAATGGTCGCTCTGGTTGTCAGAAGGGGCATCGGCCTCGCAACTTCCGAAAGAATTCGGCTTTCATCATGAGGCGTCATAATTCTTCTAAATGAAGACCTTCTGACTCCCAGGGCAGAGTTTAAAAGGTTTGAATAATTTTTTCTGGTTAGCGTTTTTTTAGCGAGTTAGTTTTCTACGGGATAGGGACGCTAACCCCATGCCCAACCCTCCTCCTTTATCCGGGCTTGGGACCGGCAGTAGCCCACGGAGGGACTCCAGGTGGAGTTTTGGAAGGGGGGAATAAGTCATAAAATAATTCAACTTGTTTCATAATCATCCTTGTAGTAGCTCATGGATGGTTTGTAGTTCATGGACGAGAAAATAATGAAAATATTGGCCGGCGATGCTGAAATCACTTGTAGTGACTCACGTGCAATTGAGTTTAGCCCAGTCAAGGTCTTTTGTCAACCTATTTAATGGACTAAGTCATCCATACTATAATAGCTTGTTGTATTTTTATTATTACTGTGCTTGTATGAAATACGTATGCTTGAACATTGTTTAGAGCTTACTCATGTATTCGTTTTGCTAGCTTCATTATTAGCTGCTTAATCTATTCGATGACTCATACATTTCCCTATATATATATATATATATATATATATATATATATACATTTACACTACTACTACTACTACTGCTACTGCTTCAGTCGTAGTTCGCTTGCTCATACATTTCACCTCTCTGTTATCTGATCATAATTATCTGCTAAATGAACTGTAGTAGCTGCTTCTTTTTGCCTTCTGATTTCAAACACCGTCGAAGATTACATGGTAACGGTATGAGGGTGATTAGTTATCGAAGCACAGCCACTACACACTGTCAGTAGATGAAGTTGTAGAAAGTATTAGGGATTAAGCTGGTAAGCTGATATGAAAACTATGAAAGCTCAATTCTCTACGGGTATATCTAATAAAACAACAAATTCCTCAGGCGAAGCAAACAGTATGTGCAGATTCAATACAGAGACAGCATTTTGTTGAGAAATGTAGTGCGCGCTTTGCGATGCGAGTGGAGGGAAGAATCGAAAACTTTTACTTAGGAATCATTAATAACCATGTAAGATATCAGTTTTCTCATCTCTCATCTTCATTTAGTGTGCACTAACATAGAAAACGTGACTCGAAATATAAGTGC